TGTTAGTTTGGAAATTATTGAATTTTGTGCAAATTTCCATGATCATTCGAGCATGTTGCGGCCTCCAAATATGCAATCACCCCTGGAGTTAATAATAATTCCTAGGATTACAAGAGGGACCTCACAGTGTTTGACACTGGCTCGGTCCCTAATTATAAACCACTGAAACCTCTTTTAAAACAGTCAAAGCTCTTAAACACAAGTAAAAGCATTCAGAAATTAGTTAAACCTGTTACGAACATTAAAACCTCTCATAAAGCAGTAAAAACCAATTATAAAACAGTAAAGCCTCCTAAAAACAAGTAAAAGCATTTATATACCAGTCAAGCCTGTTATAAACATTGAAACCTCTTATTAACCAGTAGAAGCACTCATAAATCTAATGTTTTAAAATTGTTCATTTTACTTGTGGACAACTAATATCACTTATATACTAGTGAAACTTGTTATAAACATTAAAACATCTCAGAAACCAGTTAAACTCTTATCAACCAGTAAAAGCACAACTGAACATGTGAATCCTGTTATGAACATTAAAACCCCTCATTAAGCACTAAAAATATTTATAAACTAGTAAAACCTCTTATCAACCACCAAAAGCACCTATAAACCAGTGTAACCTAATATAAACATTTAAACCTCTTATAAACCAGTAAAATTACTTATTAACCAGTCAAGCCTGTTATAAAAATTAAACGTTGTAGAAACCAGTAAAGCCTCTTATAAACCAGCAAAAGCACTTACAAACCAGTGTAACCTGATATAAATATTTCAACCTCCTAAAAGCCAGTAAGGTCATTAATAAATCCATCAAGCCTGTTATAAACATTAAAACACATTATAGCCCAGTAGAGGGGCTCATAAATCAGTGAATCTTTTTACGAATGTTAAAACATCTTATAAACCAGAAAAAAAGCAATTATAAACCAGTAGAAGTACCTTTAGAGCACATTAAAACATCTAATGAACCAGCATGACTACTTATAAACCTGTGAAACCTGTTATGAACATTAAAACCTCTAACATAGCAGTAAAAGCCATTATAAACCAGTGAAACCTCTTTTCAAATAGTTTAAGCTCCTAAAAACAAGTAAACGTATTTAGAAACAAGTCAAATCTGTTATAAACATTAAAACCACTTATAAACCAGAAAAATGCCTATGAAGCACATTAAAAACGAACCAGTAAACACATTTATAAACCAGTCAAGCCTGTTATAAACATTGAAACCTATTATAAACCAGTAAAGGGACTCATGAATCTGTGAATCTTGTTCTAAATGTTACAACCTCCTCTAAACTTATCAACCAGGAAAAGTACCTATAAAGCAGTGAAACCTGTTATGAACATGAAAACCTCTTATAAACCAGTAAAAGAACCAATAAACCAGTTAAACTTCTTTCAAACCAGTTGAAGCTTGTATAAACTAGTCCACACCTTTATTAAACAGTGAGACCTCATATGAACATTAAAACCTCTTATAAACCAATAAAAGCTTTTATAAGTTCAATGTACACATCTCAATTGCTGTGGAGAAGTATGAAAAAGCAAATTAAAAATACCTAAAACTGTATAATCCAATAAAATAGCTCTGTAATGAACACTGAATGATTGTTTAAAAATGAAATGGTTTGTTGTTGTTTAAAGAGTTTGAAGATACTTTTTGACATTTTTAAGAAATATTTGTTTCCTCCATGTTTTAAACAAAACATTTAAACATCTTTCAATAGGGGCCTCCGTAGACCAGCAACCACAATGCACAATGCACAATAAGAGCTCAGTGATCCGGATGGGGGCTGGATTTGGGCTCACTTCTCCTGTGGGGTAGTGTGGAAGTTGTCCACCAGATGAACCTCAAATATCTTAAAAATCATTATCAAAGAGTATTTTAAACCCCGATCAGCAACAACAAATATATTTTACAGAGTAAGAATTCAATACAGAGCTGTTTAATTGGATTACCTTCAGTGCTTTCTGTTTTGGAAAACAGTGAAACCTGTTACAAACCTGTGTAACCCCTCACACACCAGTCAAACACTTACTTCTCAATACTTACCTCTGAAATGGAGAGGATTCAAGGTATAAAGATGGTAAAAATGAAAGCACCCTCCATTCTCATCATCATTTGGTACTCACACCTCCTGTGGGATAGTGTGGAAGTGGTCCTGAAGACAGCCAGAGCCCCTCATCTGCACCAGGTCCCTTCCTCCAAATGACTTCTGCTACAGAGAAACCTTCTTGAACAAGATGAGCTCCAAAGCAGCGTTCTAACTTCTAATGTGTCACCGATGGAACCCCAGAAAGGATTCTGATTCCATTGGTCAGAGATGACATCACCAATCCAGCCAGGTCATCATCTAATTTCCATAGCAACAGTCAAAAACAATATTTAAAAACAAAATACAACTACATTTGATTTAATACAACATAAAATTAGTCTAATATTGTCTGATAAGTGAGTTAACGCCTACCTCTGCCTTGTAAATACTTTGTTACTGTACATAAGCACTTTACTTGAGTATTTATTTTCATGACAACCTAATTAGCATGTACTTAAAGGTCAACTAATTTAGAGGCCTGTGTAATTCTAATTATGACATATGTAGCAGCAGGGTCGTGAGACTCCCTATATAATTAGTAGGCCGTACTTTACCCTGGAGGTCTTGGGTCAAGCACCCATGTCAGTTGGAAGCTCAATCCACCTCCAGGGCCACCGACATGTTTCTGACCTTCTGCTCTGAAAAACAAGACGACCATAGCTGAGAATAAGATGAGAATTGCTGATATAGGGGCCCCCCCTTCTGGTAATTATCTAGTAACACAGAAGGCCTCAGCTACAATACATCGATCATATTTCAGAGATTCTTCTTATCACCTACATTTGAGGTTTTTGATAACACTGATACAGAGACAAGATTGATTAGACTTGAAGTCATTCTCAGAGGACAGATTTAAGGACCCTGCTGTCATCCACTCAATGAAAACTGGGATATAAAGAGAGAATTTATTGTATATTCCCCTTGAATTTTATTGATATCAGAATTGAGTCCTGAATTCCTCACCTTACATTTGGCAGGGAGATAAATTTTTTATCGGTACTGGATCTCAAGGACATCTGCAAGAGGAGAAACATCTGAAACCAGGTCTAAATGTGGCTATCTGTGCATTGAACTTGGTTAAAAAGGAAAAATAACCCTGTCTCAATTATCACTACACTACACTGTATGTTGTTGCCTCCATGTTTCCTCATCAATAAAGCATTTGTCCGATTTTGTTAAATCACATCAACTCATTCGGGAATAATTAAGAGAAGAGCTGCAACAACATTCCCAGCAGTATTGGCCATTTAATAACAATAAAAACAGTCCAGAAACAATCGTGGTTTTTAGCCAAAGCAAGCATGTACAGTAGTAGGCCAGTAAAAGTACAATGCAATCTGTAAATACATATAAGTGAATATAACAACAAAAATCCAGGTTGGACAGAAGATTTAATCAAAATAGCTGAGGTCCACTTGTTTCTCTATTAAGAGGCCACTCTGTAACATGACTTTCTGCACCTGCGTTAATGCATCCATGTGAAACAGTAGACCTTGACAATATAAAGTCAACATGGAGAAACTGCTTGGCTAAAAATCAAACCCGGTGGTCCTCACATCAGCAGCTAGCTGTACAGCTTAAATGAAATTGACTAACCAGCGAGGGAAACGTTTTTTTGCTCAAATTAATGGATTTAAACGTGAAGTGATATCAAACAATGGCTTTCAGCTGAAATGGCTGGAAAATGCTTGTGCAAAACCTACCATACGTTTGTGATCACAGCAAAACGAAACAAACAACAAAAAAAAGCAGGAAATAATGTGATGTAAAAACTGGAATTTTAGTATCAAATTGTTTGGAGTAACCTAATCATTTTAAACAAAAAACTACCGTGAAAAATGATATCCCTGTTTCAAGCTACAGCCAGAATGTGCCATCAGCCTGTACGGTGCTAAGTTTCCACCCTGCGAGGCAGCCAGGAAGAATACGTGATTCAGTACATTCAGTTGATAATCTAGACTCTTCAATGGATAGGCCTCTAACCGTGCAAATATCTGTAGTCCAAGAGAACTTAACCAACTCCAACCTTCAAGTTTTAAGTGAACAGTTGGTCCACTGAATCTCACATCCTAACGTTTATTAACATGTTAGAAAAACACGCATATAACTGTAAGCATGATACTGCTGTAAAGTCCAACATAAAATAAACAGTCAATAAAATGTCATTCAGGTTAAAATGGCCATGTAGGAGGTAAGGCCACTCCATTTGGGATGGAAGGTCCGTCCCATTGGTCCAGGCTGGTCCGAAGCCTGCGTCCTCAGTCCAAGTCAGAGCTCCCCTTGTGTCATTAAAGGCGGCTGTTCTGCCATTTGGTTGAAATATACTGGGGATGGTGAATGTAGAACTCAAAAACAACCTCATGGGTACGGGGTCCAGCATTTGTGTCGGTCAGTAGGGGGGCCACGTCAGTAGTTCTTTGCAAGTAAAAAATCTGCTTAGCTACAGACTGTTTTTGAGCTCCAAAAAGTCACTTCTTCAGTCAGTGGAACAGGCAGACTGGCAGTTGGGGCTCCCTGGAATACGTTGGGTTAGCTTATGTAACAGACTGTCAGTGAAACAGGCTGTCTGACAGACTTGGACAGACTGTCTCATGTAAGCCGGCAAGCAGTCAGTGAGTGAGGGGCGACCATTATTCAGTCGTTCAATCGTTGAGGTGACAATCACACAGCTCCTTGTAGATTCTCTTGCGGATGCGAGGCATGTCTTCCTGACTGAAGAGCAGAGGCTGCTTCACGGAGAGACATCGGCAGTACTGACAGATCGAGACAGAAAGACAAGCAGTGAGGGAAAATGATCCACAACCGCAGCGAGGTTTCCAAATTAAATGTATGCAATGACAGAAGCAAAGACGCTGGAGACAGAGATTGACTTTATTTCTTTTTCTGCCAGGAAAGAGACAGATTAAGAAAACAAAGTTGGCAAACAGGGACAGGAGATGAGGAAAAGAAATAAAAGAAATGGGTGATGAACGAAGGACAGGAGCTGTAAAAGTGGAGAAAGAATAAGGTCTCACCTCGAGGACAAAAACTCCACAGTCGCTGTCGTTTTTCTGTTGAGGAATACCCTGAGGAGGCAACAAGTCACAGTCAAGCAGGGGGCCCGTCACTGTTACAGCCTCTGGACTGATCACTTTATGCCTCTATATGTTTGTAATTACTGTACATACATGCAACTCCTGAGTCCAGCAACAGAGATAAGGACTACAAAAAAATGTGTTTAACTCATTTGCATTAATAAACAACATTTTCAGTGCCCTGCAGATCTGTTAGAATTATTTTTGCACCTTTTTAGCAATTTTTTTCATTTCACTGTAATTTACAGATAAAACAAACACAAACCTCCTAGTCTCTGGAACCCTCTCCATTACCCCATAGGTGTTAAACTGATTCACGTAATTTTCATTCTCATCAAACCATTACCTGACCCCTAGTGTCCTGTATGAAAGCATCTGCATTTGTCACGTTTCTCCACTCATTCATTCAGATTTTTCCTCTTCTGTACACTGTGTTGCTTCTGTTTACCATAATCAACCTGGCAATAACAAGGAGGCTTCGACTTTTTGCAGGTGATGAACATCCATTGTGCAAGGCAATATAAAGGTTTTCAGAAGAAAAGGTGAACACAGCGTAAGCATTACAGTCAGGGTTACCTTGATGATGGTAATCTTCCAGCCTTTCTGGAAAGCTGTCTGCTTCTTCTCTCTGGCTTCAGACAGAAGGTACTTCATAATGTTCTGATAGGGAAGCACACATACAGAGTAGAATGTCAGCTTAGGAATAGTTTTAAGATAAGATAAGATGTTCCNNTATATAAACAGTATAATATATATATATAATGTTAAATATAAGATAAGATAAGATATTCCTTTATTTGTCCCACAAATGGGGAAATTCCAATCTTACAGCAGCAAAGTGGATAGAGAAAAAAAAAAAGGTAAGAGTGGACATACTCTCATCGAGAAAGTGGAGGGAAAGGAGGAATGAAACAGACACTCCTCCAGTCTATTTAATCAGATGATGAGAATACGAGCAAAAAAACAATTAAATGTATATCTTGTATATCTTGAACTGCACACCTACATATGTACACTGACTCAAGAACTTAAATATGAAAGCATTTGGTTTACAATGGTAACATAACAGGAGCTTAAAGCAGCTGTGCACCATTTTCTACAAATCTGTTTGGGTCAACTGCTGTAACAAACTGACTGAAGGTTTCTACTTGTTAGGGGATCCGGTTGTAGGGGCTAGTAGCAAATGAACCCATGGTGGTGGAGACGGGAGCTACATCAGAATGGGCACCAGAATCAGATGTAATATTAGCTGGATTGCTGTCTTTTGTCTTTGCACTTGCTTGATTGGCTGCGTTAGCAAAGTTGTCAATATCATCAAGTAATCATTACAAATGCATGTGTACAGTTGTCTGTATTTACATTTATCTTTAGTGATATTGCACTCAGAAACTGGAGGGGTTTGCAAAAAAGCAAGTCTCACATAATGTTGCTTTTAATAAAACACGCCAAATTACAATTAAATTTGTCTTTCAAGTATTTATCTACTAATTAACTATCAAAGCACATCCTGGTTCATTACAGCCTTATGAAGAAAAACCACAGCAGAGAAACAGAGATAGAGAAACCACTGGCACTATCTGCTTTAATTGACATCAAACTGAGAAAACAAGTATTCATCTCATGGAGATGAATATCAGGAGAGCTGGATTACTGACGATCTCGTCTCATAAGTGCTTGTTTGCTAGAGATTCAAAATCCATCAGAAATCTGAAATGATAAGCTACAACAAGACATCAACATGCGCAGAGGCACTCACATCTGTGGTGTGTCTGAAGACGATGCCTTGGCTGTCGTAGTAACTGATGGTTTTGGTTGCCATGGTGACTGTGACAAGAGACCAATGGATCTCTAAATGGATGGGAATTAGCAACAACCACTTGGAGAACAGGTCAACCTGAAATAACGCCAAAAAATAACATATACACAAATTAGATATTTGATATATTTAGATAAAACATGCTGCAGGTCTCTAATACTAAGTTATGTACAATAACCTATATCCAACTGGGGTGTACAAAATAAATAAGTTATATATGAGACAATGACCTTCCAAAAGCCACCATAACAGCACAAACAGGTATATCAGCATTTCTGTTTGACACTAAATAACTTTCTGACCTTTCCTACTTGCACAGCTGGTTGGAAATGGTGGTTTCAAGAATTACTGAATATATTTAAGATGACACACTTTTACTTTAAGTAGTGAGAAAACTGAATTGCCAACAGTGGCAACAGACCACCAAAACATGACAGCGAAATCTAGTTTCCTGTCGAGACCGCTCTCTGAGAGGCAAATTAATAGCCAGAGATAAAAGTGTAATTTTGACATTAAGGTTCAGCTATAAGCAAAACTGTCAAAACAAGTGAAAAACGGCAAAACTTTAAACTGTTCCAACTTCCTCCTTACTTTTTTAGTCCATCTCTTCACACCGTCATAACCCTTAGCAACCAGCTGCTTGTGGAAAAAGCTGTTGAAAAAATGAACCTGAGGGAGAAATAATAAATAATGACACTCATTACACAGTCAGATTTGTATTTATTTATCTATTAGATAATGTAAATACTATCTCAAAAGTCTTGAAACAATGTAATACAAGTTTTAGACTCCCATAGTGAGCACCTTATATACGATGTTATATCATTTTGGACAACATGAATACCTTGTGTTGTGTTGCCTCCATGATGAGTTCTCCATACATGTTTATAATCTGAACAGACAGAAGGAACAGAGAAAGAGAGAGGCTTTAATATATTTTCATTTCTCCTAGATTCAACTTTGTTAGAAGGCTGGACAGAGGACGTAGACGTGTAATGGTGGCAAGAATGCTTTTCTGTAGCTGTATAACCCTCCATCCTTCGTCACCTGGTCATTAAGCCAGTTCTGTTCCTCCAGCGTACCAAGGTCCTCCAGGCCCAGGGTGTGTTTGTTATACGTCACCATGAAGCCCGCAATAGGAGCAGAGGCCAGCCCCGCCCTATACCGAGTCATCTCCCGTTTGATGTCCACTCCCCTAAAACACAGAGCAGAAATTCAGTAGAAAGTTCTATACAAATCTGTGGAGGTGTTTATCCTGTCCTCAAGGACATTTAATATGACAGGCTCAGATAAGGAAAGAGATGCCACAACCGCAATCTCCGCAAGGTCAGAGATTAAAAATAACATTCCCAAAAAAGGAAGGATACAAGTGTCTCACAGAGCTGAAGTTGCTAGAGTGTGTGAAAGAATATACAAACAGGCCTGATTTGGTACATAATAAAACAAACTGTCCAGTAATAATCCATGTTTCTATTTTCTTTTGATGGATTTTACCTATACCTCCTAAATCACTTCATTGGTTAGTGAAAGACAGATTGCAGATTGTGTTGTGCATGTGTTTGCATACTAACTTGTTGCTGAGGTCAGAGTTGCCTTTCTGCTTCAGGTATTCCAGGACATCAGTCTCGCTGAGAGGAATGAAACCGCCATACTTCATGTAGAAGCTCTCCAGAAACTCTGAAGGAGAAGTCAATGTCACAAAATCTCAGATGGTCAAAACAAAATTCACAATACTGATTCTGAATCACATTCCTTATCAATTCTATTACTATTCAAGCAGTGTTACACTTTTGTGGATTTATTTCAAGTATTATACAGACTGCTGATATCTTCACATCCTTCACAAAAAGCTACAATCCTGTTCATTCAAATTGTAAATATTAGTGATGCCAACAAGATGCTGTCCAAGAACAGAAACAAAACAAAACTTTATTCTAAGAGGACAGAACTGTGTGTGTGCATGAATGGGCACATGACCAATTTGTTCATACCCAATGTGAAGATCTTGGTTAATAAGGGTTGATCTTCAACCAGACATATGTCCTTTTTATTTTGGAAATAAGAACATATCTCATAAAAAGATCTTGCGTACACACAAGGTTAGATGAGGCCACATGTTTTATGAATGTTATATGACAGAAAAAGAGCAAGACATCAGCACTTACTGCTGTCAGTTTGTGTGTAAAAAGATAAATGATTTACCACGCTTCACTTGAACAAACCGGGATGACGCCGACTATATTCATGAAAGGGAATAAACTCGTATAGTGTGCTCAAAAACATATCTTACCGTGGATCATATCAGTAAGCTGCTCAAGGCTTTCTTCATCCTGCGTCTTTCCGTCTATCTCTCGTCCATCTTTGCCTGACAATTCCATCTCCTTCTTCTCCCAGGTTCCAGACTGACAGTACAGTGTGTGGTCTCTTAATGCCCAGTGGTGCTGCATGCTGGACACTGTAATAGGTCCCTGGGATGGAGGAGCAACCACAGCTGGATGAGAAGTTTCCACCTCCATGTGGAGTGTGGAGCAGTGGTCCTCACTTGTTGGTGTGGCGACGCTTCCATTGGACAGAGTTACAGGTTCAGACACCAAATCTGTTCTATCAAGTCGAGTCTGGTCCACCTGCATCTCAGAGTCCAGGTCCTGGGGTGACCCTGATCTTGAAGCAGGACCTGACTGCCGTGAGATAGACGGTAGTCCATTTTCCAGTCCGCTCATGATCATGTTGTCCGCCATTGCGTCCTCTTCCGGTTCGGTGTCAGACAGGTTTACAGTGTCTCCATTTCCAGATGCGGACTGAAGTGAGCTGGGGTCGGTCTGCTCCTCATGGTCCACCTCTGCGTCCTTGTTTGGCCCCTGCCTCTGCAAAACCACAGATCGAGGTAGGGCATACGTTTTAGAAGTGAAAACACCACCTAACCCTCCTCTCCTTATTCCACCTTGTACTTCCAATTTTGATGCAGACAAAGCTCCAACCATTCCTCTCCCTCTCCCTCTAACTACCAGTGCTCCCCTGCCTGTCATTCCTGACAATCTCATCTCCGCATCCCTGCCGCCATCACCACCACCTCCTTTCCCTCCTGCACCGGCAACCCCTGACCCCTCTGTCAACGTGTCCTCCGTTCTCTGCGCATCCCCTCTCTCTGGAGCGGCACAGTTCCTTGCTGGTCCATCCTGCAAGGAGCCTGTGACAGGAAGGGCAACGGGCGTTTGTGAGCAAACTACAGTTGTTTGCACCTTCTCATATGGGTCGTCTTCGTCCTCTGCTTCCTCTACCATCTCCTTCGTCAAATCAAAACTCCTGATATGTGTCAGCTGGCCACCCACTTTCCTTTTTGGGGTGTCGCAGAGGTCACTACCAGGCACCCTCCCTCTCCCTTTTCCCCTCCCTCTCCCTCTGCCCGAGGTTCTGACATTGTGTCCTTTGCTGTGGGGGCCACAGCAATCACAGGCCTTGGGAGTCCTCTTCCTGCCTGATGTACGGCCATTGAACAGGCCCTGAGCAGGGTCCGGAGACTGCGCTGTTGCAGGAGTTACGACAGGTGGCTCGGCATCGGCAGGAGTCGGCGTCGAGGGCTGGGTCAGGTCTGAGTTGGAGGTAATGTCTGTGGTGAGAAGTATGGCAGAGGTCTGGGTCGGGTCCTGGTCTGTAGTATCTGCGGGAGGGGGCGCTAGCGGAGCAGCTGTAGCAGGAACGGTTAAATGAGGGGATGCTGATGGCGTTGTTTTCATTGGGGATGCAGAGCCGCTGTGAACCATGACGTCCTCCTTTGGCTCTTCAACCCCATCCCCAACACCCCCTGTTTGCACTCCTGTCCTCTCCTCCTCTTTGGTCCTCAGAATTTTAGGTTGTGGTTTGTTCTTTTGTTGGTTTTTATCCCGACACTTCCCTCCAGGTATTCTTCTGCAAAGTACTTTTGCTGTGTGGAAAAAAAAGCTGCTCTCAAGCCTTTCCCACCACAGACGTTAGTGATACGTCAGCTGACTAGAACATGGTGAATATTGATTGTTCCTCAGTGATGGGTAGATGCTGTATGGAATAGTAACACCACCATGTTCACCTAAGTAGAGCAAGTGGGGAAGAAGGAGAGGGAGGCAGAGAATAAGAGCCAATGAAAGAACTGTCAGCACGCCCCTCTAAATTGGCTATATAATTACATTTTAGCAGTTTAAATGTGCAAGGCATGACTCAGGGTTCACAAACACTGTTGTGTCAATAATAGAAAAGCACACCAGACAAAGCAACCCTGTTAGTAGGTTGTTCAAAATGACTGTACAGTTTTCAGATGATTAGGTGTCTTTACTGCAGGTAAGGTTTCAATCATGGTTGAGAAAATAAAACGAAGGCCACGTTCAGATTGCAAATTCAGATTCTTTTTTTTTTTTTTGTTCATATGTGACTCAGATATGTCTTTTTCAGGACCGTGTGAACAGTACAAAACCCCTGTACGGAATATGTCACTTTCATATGGGGTCCAAATCAGAAACAGGTCTGAATTTTGGCAAAATTACCTCTTATCAGAATTCATGTGACGTTCCTGTTCACCGCTCACACTGGAATCTGATGTGGGCCAAAAATAATGTTAACAGCCAAAAATAATAATAATAATTGAGAATTAAGCGCCAAGGTTTGCAGTGTGAACGTCGCCTATGAGCCAACATCTGTTTAGACAGCTGTTGTCACTCTGATGTTTGTCTCCTACTCTGTCCAAGACCACGAGAATGATGTAAATTCTGTGTTAGAGCAGCTGTAGTTCATTTCCCAGGTAAACTCCACAACAGGTGAAGGATTGGCTGCTGCTGTTTAAATTCAAGAAGTAAAAGTGACTTGTACAAAACTGTAAAATATATACATACACATTATTCATTTGAATCTATTTCCCATTCATCTGGGGGGCGATATTCAAAGTCACTACAGTCATCTTTAACGAACAGCTGGGTCACAGTTCACATACAGAAACGTCGTGATTAATTAGTTTTAGCTTGAAACTGAGTCGGTTTTTACACAAAGACATCACGACCGAACATTTGTGCTATTCCTCCTCTGAAAGTAACGTTAATGTCACCTTTTTAAAGAGCTCTTACTTCGTTTAGAAACCACACTCAGTTAGCCGACGTTAGCACCGCAGCAGCGACATGTGACAGTCTCTGAGCTGCAGATATTCAGTGCATGCAGATACTTTCAGTCACCAGCAGCTTCGTTAATCATTAGCACGTCTGACAGTCTTTCCCAAAACCAAATGAGTGATGAAGTTAACTAAAAAGTGCTGTTAGCTGCGGTGGCGTTCATTTCACACTGAGCGACGGGCTACTGGAGCACGCCCCGCACCTCTTTTAAGGCTTTAAAATACCACCAGATAGTTCAACGAAGTCAAACGTCACACTCGTCAAAGTTTTGCATAAGTCTAGTCATTCCCCTGCAGCTCTCTGAGGGAGCTAGCTGCAGCCAAAACAGGCGAAGACACAAAGCAGCGACTACATTTCCTCCATTTTCAGTAGGAAGTTTGAGGCGTTTAAAGGCGAGAAAAAGAAGCTGCCAGTCAGTGTTTTTAAGTGACATGAAGTACGAGCCAAACGCATGACGAAAAGTGGCGAGAAAGATCTTTATACACTACCTTCTCTGTGAAATAACAAACCGAGTTTCGTCTAAACACGATTTGAAGATACAACAATCCCAATTGTCGTCGCTCATTGATTGCGTCACCGACTCGGGTTCAGCTTCGGTTGTTTCCGGAAACTCTCCCGAAGTAAAAAACCTTCACGTTTACGTTCAGTCTGCTATCATCAGTCCACAACATACGAAAGTAGTTGTTTATTTATTTTACAAGGAGCAACAATAAAATCTACAGCAATTTACTTTCCTGTTTCAGTTTTTTTTTTTTTTTGCATTTCAATTTGCTTTTACTGGCAGCACATGTAAATGTATGAGTGTTGTCATAGCAAATAAACCAAAATAGTTCATAAAAAAGAGAAGTAAAACAATTCAAATTTAAAATAGAATTTGAATTGAATGTAAAATATAATACAAACTGGTACACAACACACACACTGTATCTTGATTAATCTTTAATTACAAAAAAACTAAGACAAGAAAACAATAAATAAAACTAACAGCCAAAGGGGAAAAGGAATTTAGTAAAACATTATCAACAGTAAAATGTAAAAAAAAAAAAAAAACAAGGTTAGCATAGCAACGAATACTGGACATGAGATAATTAGCGGTTTGGCTTTATACCAGTAGTTTCCAACCTTTCAAAGTAATGTCATGACTTTTGTAAAATAAAGAAATCTACCACAGGTATAGCTATATTAACTGTGTCAAAATGTCACATACATATCATTGTTTAGTGAAATGGATGTACCATCATGGAAACTAATGCTGCACAAGGCAAAATAAAATGTATCAAACAAGTAACTTCAGACAGACTTGAGTCAAAAAAATGAGCTTTTTTTTAAACATATGAACAAAATATTAAAATATATTTGAGCTTACTTCAAGGTTTCAGCACACCATTTCGGACCCCAAAGATAATGCAGCAGGTTATGCAGTCTGGTGCTATACATTTCTATTTGTACATAAGGTCAGTGCTATATCATTCTCTACTTGCATGATCAAAAACAACAGGTATAATAATAAAGTCTCTTTACAAGTGTCATTTGGCTCCAGTGATGTCAGGTGATTAGAAATGACCTCATTGGTCGCTTTTAAACACCAAACATGTGCAGATGCAGCCGTGCAAGGAGTTTCACATACATGTCTCGCAATGCTGCGGCACTGTAACACTAATGCCAAGAGGATTCATTTGGAAAATGCTGCAGAAAAAATAGAACGATGACCGTTTAAGGATGCTTATTGTATTATTAAGTACATAGACCTTTTAAAACTGGCCCCATGTATAGGTACAGTTATCTTTTTTACAATTTTTACAAAAGAATAATGACCTAGGCCATATTCTTTGGATCAGCTGACAGATTAATGATAGAATAAATGTATGATTCATGTTTTTTTCCATTAAGAAGAACTCACAACCTTCCTGATGTTTGAAAAGTGATTAAAGTGAAAGAGAAACAACCCAGTCAGAGTAGGAAATACAGTTCATATGAGAGAGTGATCTATTTTACATTTCTTTATTTTATAGCTTTTGGTCATGTTTTCTTTCGCTTGAACTGCTATAAAACCATGTTGCAGTGGAGATGTAGATGTTGGTAAAGGATGACCGTGGTGCAGTAGACGGTGACAGCTGTGGGGTTTGTGCCTAAAAGAGATGATTGGTACAAAAGAGGAAAAGTATTATCTTTTCATAGAAACACATTCTCAAAAAAATATGCTATTTTATCATATAAAGACATAAATTAGTTTTTAATAGAGATACGTCAGAAAAAGCAGTAAGAAAACACCATTACCTATCGAAGCGTGGCATTAAATGCTGGAGTATGTATGGTCTTGGAGACTGTGGCGCCGTTGTTGCCCCCTGCTGTTAGCACCTGAAGCTGCAGCTGGTAAACACTGTCAGCCTGAAGACCTTGAACTGACACCGAACGCTGAGACTGTGGAGGGTGAAGCAGGGTCAGTTCACAGTCGCACACACACACTATTCTTCCTACACAAATATTTTAAATTGAGTTAGAGCAGAAATAATGTGTGCCTGCAACAGTGCCTGTAACAGTGCTTGTGTTTATTGTCATTAAGAAATTAATGAAGTGTGGCTCATTTTGAGGTCAATGGCACAGAAGAATAAGATATATTAGGCTTTGGCTACACAGACAATACAAGTTAGGATCAATTAATTGTTGTTTTTTGCCTTCAATGGGATTTCTTGACAATAAAAATACATCATTAATAATTTTTTACTTGTTGAAAAAGTTAGTTTAAATCAAAAAGAAAGAAAAAGGAAGTTGATGATTAGTGGCCCATACACACACACACACAC